TGCATCTGATTCAAATTTGGCTGACAGAAGTCTGCCAAATTAAAAGTAATTTGGATGAGACTGAGGAATAGGATACCTCTTTGCACCCATAAAAAAACCCCAGTCTTTAAGCTATTAGAAAGGAATAGCTAATAAATATCTTGGCTAAAATTGTGTGGAAGATTTGAAATAATAACCAAATTAACTGTTTCTTGAGTTCATTAAAGTCTATACAAAGGATAGACGTGTTGTATTGTTGGTCTGTAGGAGGTAGAAGGGATGACTATAATAATGTGCACATTGGGAAGTATATATGCCCTGATAAAAGTGTTGTATATATCTTGTCAATCAAATGAAAAAGCTGTAGGCATGTTAATATTAATATTTACTATTTGTGCCTCAGCACCTACAGGTAAATGATACCTGACAAAACACTGACAGTGCACAGTAATTGTCCAGATGATTTTCTAGACTTAAAAGTGGGAAAAACACAGGCAATAAAAGTCTGTGTGCATATTAGTACAGCAACATTTTTAAAAAGACCAAGATAGGAAAAAAACACAAAGAAAAAGTGAGTCTTAAGGAAAGGCTTGAAGGAATAGTAGTGTGATAGAATGGGTTAAAGAAGTAAATAAGGAATTCTGTCTTGTTTTACATGTGGAAATGTTGAACAGTGATTGTAGACACAGGGCATGCTCCAAAGGCCTATTTGCATGCTAGTTGGTGTTTGGCCTGCAAATGATATTGTTTGGTTCTCTCCCAAAGGACTAATTAAGAAGCCCATCAAAATATAACATGGAATAAATTATTTTTGAAGATTTCCCATTACTCACATAATAAAATAATTCTTTTTTCTACAGAGGTATGACAATCTCTGTTGCAGACTGAGGAGCAGCATGGTGGTTTTGGGGGTTGTGGAAGACTGAATAAAGAGTGAGTCAGAACAAGGAGGGTGGGGTAGTGTTCATCTCCCATCCTCAGATCAGTCTTCTACTGTTTATGAGTCATATGTAAACTCTATACAATAAAGTTCTAGGTTGACACTATGAATCTTGGAAGATGGTTGCACAATTAATATTCCTCATCATATATGATTTATAAATATCATATAACTTGTATTTTAAGCAGGCTTAAAACATGAGGATGTGGCCTAACGTCAGCAGTATATTAATAAAGGAATACAACAGGAATGTTACTTAAGAGTTCTTACAGAGAAAAGAGCAGGAAAATTCCTGGTCTGCCACATTACCATATGGTGTTACAGACTCAATTAAATATCATCTGTATGGATGAATTACCTAGGTGGGTGAGACAATCTAACAGCTCACTGTGGCTGAAATATTCCTACTTTTCCTCCACTTCTCCCTTTCAGCTTTGTCCTTGACTGAGACTTCATCTTCCTACTGATTTGTTTGTGCCAGCTCTGGCCCTTGTCGGACCCATAAACTAAATTAATTCAACTAGCAGAAAAATAACACACACACACCCATCCCAAGTACAGTTTTTGCTGGAATAGAAAGTTGAATTGTCTGTTCAAAGGGTCTCAGAAGTGCTATAGATGGGAGAAGGGAGATGGTGGATGCAAGACCAAGGAGAAGGAGTGCAAATCTGTTTTAAAGTAAGCATAGTCTTTCATCTTGAAATCACATCTAAAGATAATGCTTGTTCTGAGGTATCTGACAAACATGATTACCTCTGCGTCAAACATAACAAAATATCTGTTCAAAGGAAAAATAGCTAATTCCAATGGGTTGCAGAATTCTCAAGACTCAGAGGGGCAAATGACAGCTGAGCTGTGAGGGTCTCATCACAGGCAACTTGTGAAGAGGCAGCTCTCTTGATGAGCTTAGTTTGAGTCCCTTTGAAATCATAGATGGGCACCTGTCTATTCTGTGTTAGAGTGGTTCCCAAAGAACCTAGTGGGCATTCAGAACTTGCCAAAGGATCAGCTAGAAGGAGCAGGAGACTCCTAAGGAGGAGTGAAGAGGAACATTCCTTTCTGGCAGCCCCTGTGCACTCACAGGACCATGCTGTGTGCCTTCCAAGGTGAAAGACTTCTCATGAGCAATCCATGACACCTCCCTACAGCACGTGCAGGACGTGCCAGTTGGAAATACTAGAGAGCTAACTCTAGAATTTTACTTTGTACATTTGGCAAAGAACAGGTGTCCCATGCCGTGTACAAGATACTGCAAGATCACTCTGCCCTGCGTGACATGCTTTAAAATCAGAGCTTAAAACAGGAGTGAGATCTGAGTGAAGCAGCTGTGTCTGAGGATGCCTAGACTGCCAAAACTCTTAACAGTAGTGGAGATGCTGTACTTAGGGAAAGTTCTTCATGGGACTGCTTTAGCATCCCACCACTAAAAATGCTGTAATTGTGTGTGTGCTTTTAACCCAGGCTGTTTTAATTTTGGGATGAAATTACACATCACGCCTGAGTCAGCTTTTGAGAGCTTGCACCACTGAAAGTGGAATCTTCTTCCTCCTTTCCCCTTTGTTCCCCAGATTGTCTTGCTTCTTCCTGTTGGTCAGAAAAGCACCGGTATAAGGCAGAGAAAAGCACACAGAAGTGGAAGAAAGTGGTGATAAGGGAAATGGGACTGTGTCTTTTCACAGTGATAAACAGTCAGATCTGCTCAAGTTGCAATGTATAATACACATAGCCCTCACAAAAAGAGGATTAAACCAAATTGTACTGTCATGCATATGTCCTGAGCTGTGGCATGTAACATGCTAATGGTCAGTATTGTTAATAAGCATCCAAGCCATTAGTCTGTATTCCTTGGTTTTCTATCATACTGTTTATGGGGAAAACCCCAGAAAATTCATGGCCCAGATAGAGATCCAAGACTATGTGGATGAGTGACCAGCGAGTTTGATAGTGTTTTTGGAAGTTAAAGCAACTAGATGACAGTATCTTCTGCACCAAAGAAAAATGTTAATACAAAAACTTTAGCCTGGGCTTGACCCTCTGAGATCAAAGACTGAAAACTGAGATCAGGACCTATGCACATCAAGTTTATTTCAAGACATATAGAGTGCAGTATTCTGCTGCACTTGGAATAAATTATTTGCACTACTCCATTGAAAGATGGAGCAAAGAGGATTTACTGGGAATATCCTCATGGGATGTTGAGGTTTGTTTGGGGCCTTTTGGCATAACTGTTTTAAAAAATTAGAAATCATAATCATTAGTACTAAGTTAATAATAGTCTGATGCAGGCAATTATTTCAATATTAACAAGATATAAGACTACCATATAACTTTTGGGGAACTGTTGGAGGTGATCATAAGCTTGGTGTGATGAATCATACCTATGTCATATAGACTGATTACTGTCAAGCTGTCTTAAAAGCAAGGCTTCTATCTTCCTGATTTTATAGGATTTACTATTGTTACTTTTTACAAGTAGAAAGCTGAGAACTACCTAAGTGCTGTATATATTTAAATATTCTAAGGGACACTTTCATTCCAGTATTGTATTTTCACACAGTATGTAAAAGGTAGATTGATTTAAAATTCGATCGTAGTCTGGAAATTTCACTTGTGAACAGTGTTTTCTTTGTGAATTACTTAATGCAGTACTGTTTCCTGGCATGCATCCAAGTAAACAAAAATGTGTAAACAGGACTTTGAAATTAATTTGTAATTTATTATTGTTCATCACAACATACAGAATGAATATCCTATTTATTTTCCATAACCTATGCTTTTTGCATAAAAAGCTAGGGTTATGGAGATGTAATGAGTAAGGCGCATGAGAATTGCTTAAGTAAATTCTTAATCTTTGCATTTATCAGGTACTTTTTTTTTTTTTTTCTGGTACACACCTATTTCTTAATGTTTGGAACAGGAACTTTTTTTAAAACCTGCATATATTCTTATTCTTTTGTTTTAGTATAGCTAATTATATATAAAGATTTAAACGTAATTGCATAAGCAGAAACCTTACAATGAGGATATGATGAATCAGATTAATGGAACTCAGCCTTTTTGCTCAGGCAAGACATTATGGATGTGGGCATTAGCCTTTATTGGTCAAATGATCAGGTGTCCTCATAAATATTTGTCCCCTATTATCTGAATATACTTATGTGCTGTCACACATCCAGAATTACTACCTAGTTTTCAGTCAGATGTATGTGGGGCTTCGGTGATCTGATCTGGTCTCTGTGTGTCCCCTGTGGAAAGCACCTGGGTTATACGACAGGCAGGGGACAGTTGTGGCAGGGAAGGAGAGGTGGCGACCTTGGGGAAAGAGCTTGTCAAGAAGCAGCTGTAGGCTAAGTTATTCTTATGGACCATCTGGAGTTAGATCACTAGAAATTGTTGGTTTGTTCAGACTGGACAAAACACTGTTTTAGAGTTATTAATGCAAATATAGGCGAAAACCCGTTACATTCATCTAACAGTGTCGGAAGAGTTGCAGTTGCCAAATCTTTTGTCTTTTAAGAGTCAGATTATGATTCCCTTATGCTGAGTAGCATTTTCCCATTTAAAGTAGTCCTATCAGTATCAGTGCAATAGATAGTCAAATAAATATCTACGCAATTAGAGAATAGCATTAACCAAAGTTGGCAAAGAGAATAAATATTAAAAAATAATCTTACACACTATCTCAATAAGTGGTCTTCTGGATATAAGAATTGGGCCCTATTCCTCCAATCTGACTAGTAGCAGAAAAATCAAAATGCTATGCAGAATCCCTGTTAGATCAATTTAAGGAATGAAGGAAAGATGACACCAAGTTGTTTTCTGTTCTTTTTTTGAAACATGCTTAAGTTTTTTTAAAATTAGGAAGAAATCTCCCTAAAAGCTATATTTAAGCCACAGTTGTGTATTTGGAATATGCTATGCTATGTGTAGGAGAAAAAGCCTTTTAATAGATTTTTTTAGAGGATTAGTGATTGGATTTTCCTGCAATTTACAATGGAGCTATGTGAATGATGCATGACTATTAAAATCTGAGAGAAGTTGTCCTGTAAGGCATAAACTCTTGTTTCTGTTCTTTCTTCAGCTATTATTGTGTACCGGTTGCCCTGGACCTGGAAGTGCAGCAAACTCCTAATGAAGTTCATACATGCTGGATTAAATACCATAGCAATGATTCTCGCAATTGTTTCTATGGTAGCCGTGTTTGAATACCACAATGCCAGGAACATTCCTAACATGTACAGTCTGCACAGCTGGATTGGGCTGACTGCTGTTATATTTTATTCTCTCCAGGTCAGAATCTAACTGTATTTATAAACAGGTTGTAAATTCGAAGAATTCAGGCACAACAGGCCCTCACTAATACACTCTAACTACGGGGACACCCGTTTTGCATTCTGTGATTTGGCAAATTAGCATGTAAATGTGCAAATACTGGATCCTTGACTTCGAAGAAAAATGTATTTTAAAGGATAATTTGTTTATTTGCTGGGATAATGGCAGTTTATTCAGTTATATAGTTGTGTGTTTCTAATAAGCTCTATAAATTGCTGAAGTTAAAGCAAGTGATTGTGTTTGTTGGCAGCATATTTAAATACACTTAGAGCTTTTATTAAGGAAGTCTTAAATTAAGTAATTGTTTTTCTTTTTTTTCCAGCTATCATAATTTTAAGTAGTCACTTCCTGGCTTCAAGAGTTTTATTTATCAGCAGAACAAGTACAGCAGGGAGCAGTACAGATCTAAAGGCTCTGACATCTGAATGAGCTGTTACTAGCTAACCAGTTTTCCTGAATCAGCAAAGCTTTGACAATATTCATGTGCATGATTTTAACTGCTTCTATTGGCAGAGAATTAGAGTTATCATCATCTAAAATGAGCTAACCGTATGTTTTGCATTTGGCGCAGAAGAAGAGCAGGCATGCCCTGACATTTAGTGTACACATACAGATGTGATGTTTCTGCATATATATTCTGAATTCCCTATATTGTGTTATTACACTATGGAAATTTATTTTGTTCCTTCAAATTATGATTTTTTTTTCTCCAAAACAGTAAAAAGTAAAAAATAAGACTTAATTATTTGATGATCAAGCACAAAAAATCCCCAGCTGAGGGATTTGGGTTCTGGACTTTTACCCTTCACTGCTCAGGCTAGGAGGTACAGGAAATAGTACTGAAATACTGTTTTTAACATTTAGAAAAAAGAAAGCATATTGCAGCATTGTTGAGTATATTCTTTATAGTTGAACAAGAGCTAATGAAAGGAATGACATTAAGATTTTCCTTGTCTTAATCAGTTATTTTAGGGAAATCTGTGCTGCCACTATACTGAGTATCAGCATTTTTTCTAATGGTTAAGATAAAGAACTGTGAATAATATGTTAATTCTACTTTTCATTTTGCTACTATAAACATGATCAATGGCACTTAATGCCTTGCCTGTCTCATCAATAGACACATGGTGTTACTTCCTCCAAACTGGGATGTAAGTCTCCAGTCAGAGACTGATGTTTGTGAGAATAGAGAAGACATTTGGCATATGCCAGAAATGGCATGTCAATCTCAGAATTGAAAAATTATTGAGGTGGGATGCTCACATAATACTAGGCCTACAGGAACAATAGTGTAAATGTATTGTATTTAAGACAAATGTATGTTAATACAGTATAGCACAAGGACATAAATTTAAGAATAGGGCAGAAATGTATAATGGAGACTGTCTCTTGGAAAGCAATGTCTCTGTAAAGAAGTATTCAGAGATGACTTGAAGCTCAAAATGAGTTCTCACGATGCTGTGACAACAGGAAAAGTAAATTCTCTTAACTTCCATATATGGCATTGGTGAAACTAATATGAAATACTATGGAATAATTTTTTTTAAATGTAAAAAAGAAAAGGCAAATAAAATCTGGAATAGTAATTTGAGAGCTGGAAAAACTATCTTCCAGTGAAGGACTTAAAAAGCTCCAACTGTTTAGCAGATCTAAAGAAGATTAAGAGATGACTTGATTAAGGTGTATTAAAAAGCTTCCTAGGGAGAAAATACCAGGCTCTTTAATCCGGCATGGAAAGACAAAACAAGGACTAAGACTGGAAGTTAAAGCAAAATGAAATACAAATTTGAGCACTATTTCTAACTTAGCAGCAGGGGTGAGTAACGGTGGAACAATCTAAAGAAGGGATGAAATGTCAGTATGACTGGGCAAGCCTGTGACTGAAAACATGACATGATGGGTTATCTTCCATGACAAAATTAGTGCTACTGGGTGGACTTTTGTCCCCCGAATAACATCATGCCACCCACACACATCTTCACTCTGTAAATGCCAACTGATTGATATATTGAGATATAGGCCATTGCCCTTCTAAAGACATGTACTTTTAATTTAACCAAAACTCTAACAAGGTAAAATTATTTAGTACACTCACATCAGAAGGTTAGACTGCCTTCTGATCTTCATTTATGTGTAAATCCATAACAGAAGCAGAGAACAGGACTTGAAGAGACTGTAAAAATGTATCTGCTTGCACCTTTAATATGTTACTGAATTAGTGACATTGAAAACTTGTGTTTCCAGTACTTAGTTTGGTTGCAGTTTCAGCACTACCAGTAAGTTTGGACACTGATATTAGGTGGGGTTAGGTGCACAGAAGGACTTGGGGGTGTTGGTGGATGAAAAACTGAATATGACTCAGCAATGTGCACTTGCAGCCCAGAAAGCCAGTCGCATCCTGGGCTGCATCAAAAGCAGTGTGGCCAGCAGGTCGAGGGAGGTGATTCTCCCCCTCTGTTCCACTCTGGTGAGACCCCACCTGCAGTGCTGCATCCAGCTCTGGGGCCCCTAGCATAAGATGGACATGGATGTGTTGGAGCAGGTCCAGAGGAGGGCCATGAAGATGATCATGGGCTGGAGCACCTCCCCTGTGAGGACAGGCTGGGAGAGTTGGGGTTGTTCAGCCTGGAGAAGAGAAGGCTCCGGGGAGACCTTCTAGCAGCCTTCCAGGACTTAAAGGGGGCCTACAGGAAAGGTGGGGAGGGACTGTTTACCAGGGAGTGTGGTGATAGGACAAGGGGTAATGGTTTCAAACTGAAAGAGGGGAGATTTAGATTAGATATTAGGAAGAAATTCTTTACTGTGAGGGTGGTGAGGCTCTGGAAGAGGTTGCCCAGAGAAGCTGTGGCTGGCCCCTCCCTGGCAGTGTTCAAGGCCAGGCTGGATGGGGCTTTGAGCAACCTGGTCTAATGGAAGGTGTCCCTGCCTATGGCAGGGGGGTTGGCACTAGGTGATCTTTAAGGTCACTTCCAACCCAAACCGTTTGATGATTCTATGATTATTTATAAAGTATTTAATATCTGCTTCCCAGGTGCTAATACAAAAGTATTGCTTTGGTTTTGAAAGGAAACATTCAGAGATGAAAATGCCAGTTCTTTTCAAATTTGTACCTGAAGACATCTCAAAATGGAATTTTTATGATGATTTTTATTCTGCTTGAGAAGTGCAGCTTGTTTCCCATATAGCTTTAACTATGAATCTGTTTTGTGTTTAGCTTTTCTTGGGTTTCGCTGTCTTTCTGCTCCCTTTTGCTCCAGTTGGTCTCCGAGCAGCTGTCATGCCAATACATGTTTATTCAGGTCTTACCATCTTTGCAACAGTGATTGCAACAGCTCTCATGGGAATCACAGAAAAGCTTATCTTTTCATTGTAAGTATTTTTTTTTCACTTGTTTATTAAGGTTATGCATTGCAAACTGTACTTTGCACAGAATAATAACCAGCTAGTATAGAGACATTGTTTTGTTTTGTTCTGTTTTAGAAAGATCTACCTAGCAGGAGACTGCTGTCTTTAGACCAGGATTGTTTTTAAAACAACTAACTTTTTTTTTTTTGCCTTCTAAAGGAAAAATCCTGCATATAGTGCATCCCCACCAGAGGCAACTTTTGTCAACTGTCTTGGTCTTTTGCTTGTCATATTTGGTGCATTTATTTTGTGGATGGCAAGCAGGCCCCATTGGAAGCGCCCCCCAGAAGAGAATGCTAAACTTCTGCGGCCCGTTGGAGGGACTCCTGAAGGCACAGAAGCAGAATCCACAATGACAGATGGTAGTAATGCAGATAAATCTGAGCTGAGGATCAACAGTGAAACAGCCAGAAAACAAAACCTCAAACTTGATGAAGCAGGCCAACGATCAACTATGTAAAGAAAACACACAGAATAACAGTACTATTATACTGCCAAACTCCCCTGGTTCCTTCCAGTTTAGTTATATTGGTAGTTAACTAGGTTGGGGTTTTATTTTCCATATGGCTTGCTCAAAGATACTCAAGTTTTCTGCATATGAATTTAAATTCCAGTAACTCCCAAACATATATATATACAGATGACATTTGGCTTTGGATTATGTGTGATCATTACTGAAATCTAAGGAAATTGTAAGACATCCAAATGCAGAATTCATCTTATTTGGAAAGCTATACACGCTTAGAAAGATATGTATCCCTTAAACCAAGTCTTCCTTTTATCCCAGAGGGCAGCATTTTACTATCTTTATTTGATTGCACCATTCTATTGATTTATGGCACTAGACTAGAAATTAGGAGGTCAGAAACCAGAGAAGGCTGCTAGCAGTCTCACAGAAGAAAGGAGCTTGAAGTGAGAGATGCTTCCTCCAAGAAACAGCCGAGCTTTGCTGATTTGATTAAAACGCTACCCATTAACTGAAAGCTAATTCTGGTATCTCCACACTGGTGTCAAAATCATTATTGTCATGGGCATGAAGACATACTTTAGACTATAAGCAAACTATATAAACTCTATGACTTTTTAATTTGAAATGAAAGTGTTAAATAATGCAGTTTGAGTCTCTACCGGCACTTTATTTTTACAGCTCTTTCTAGTAATCAGACTATTAATGTATTATGCTCATTATTTTCACAGATATAAACAATACTTATTTTTTACTAGTATAGCAGAATAATTATCGTAGATTGTTTTGATTGCACATGTCCAAAATGATGAGCCTTTCTATTATAATCTCTTGTAAAATGTGCAGAGCCCACTAGTTTTCCAAATTTATCACTGTTCATGTTGCAGTATAGACAGTTTCAGACAGCATATAATTTCCTATTTTTTTAAAGACTACATCAATTTTTATCTACTTCAGCTTTTTAAAATGTTTAAATACATTGAACTTTAGCAAATACGCAATTTTTATAGTTCAGTGTTGCATTAGTACAAACAATTTTGGTCATGAGGTACTTTTTGGATCTTCTTTGACAAGAAGCACCTCAGTTTTTGTTATTTGATTTGTAATAACATTTAATTATTTGGTAAATGCAGTATAGAAAGCTAGCATAGTAAATGATTTGAAAAACTTTTCTGCTGTACCATTTGGTACTTAAGGACGACATCTCAAAGTTCTGTGTTTTCACTTACATATGGTTGTGAGTGACTGGGACCCACCTAGCATTGGTGTATTGTTTCATTTGAGAAAATACCTGCTTTTAAATGCCTTAGGGTAGAATTCAGGTATGACAGAAGGAATACTATCCTATTATGTGAGCACTCCTCCAGTCCCACTGTGTGCAATGGATTGGACAGCTTTTTCCCTGTTTTTCAAGTTCCGCACAATTATCTATTTTCCTAAAATTGTTCTGTGCAGCTTCAGCATAAATTCCAAATAGCACTGAAAGCAGCTTTCTGAGAGAAAAACAAGAGCACGTTTTACATGACATTACTGCTCAACTGACGAGACACTATTATGTTATGCATGCATCCTATTACAAATTTATATATTGAACATCAAGTAGGAAGAGGGATTCACAGTGGCTTCTGGAGAACACTCAGCTGTGCCATCTTTTGATCTTGTTTTGTTCTGCTCAACAAGCTGTTTTTTTTATGAAATCAGTAAGCATCTTACAGCTGATGGATGCATGTTTAGTTTTTGTGAGAGATGCTCTGTTAACACTTTTGAAGTATAACAGGTGAAGTGAATAAGTGAACTCAACTGTTCTCATAATTTACTGTGCTAGCTTTCTATACTGCACTCACACAGGCAGCAGCATTTTAAGTTGGTATATATTGGCCTGTTACTGAGTCTCATCCACCTATGAAAATGAGCTCATTCAATCCTTGCATAGTACTAAGTCATCTAAAAAAAGCATGTGTTTGTGTGGAAGGTAGTCACTTGTCTAAGGATGTTCTGGAAGAAACTCTAAAGTATATTGGGAAAAAACCCACAAAATCTGTGATTTATTTTGTTACAACACTGACTTGGATGTATTGAAATCAACAGCATTTAGAATCATAGAATCATAAGGTTAGAATAGACCTCTGAGATCAAGTCCAACCATTGACCTAATACCACCATGCCCACCAAACCATGTCCCGAAGTGCCACAGCTACAGCGTTTTTTGAACGCCCCCAGGGATGGTGACTCCACCACTTCCCAAGGGCAGCCTGTTCCAATGTTTGACCACTCTTTCGGTAAAGAAATTTTTCCTAATGTCCAATCTAAACCTCCTCTGGCACAACTCGAGGCCATTTCCTCTTGTCCTATCACTTGTTACTTGGGAGAAGAGACTGACCCCCACCTTCACTACAACCTCCTTTCAGGTAGCTGTACAGAGGGATAAGGTCTCCCTTCAGTCTCCTCCAGACTAAACAACCCCAGTTCCCTCAGCCGCTCCTTGTGAGACCTGTTCTCCAGACCCTTCACCAGCTTCGTTGCCCTTCTTTTGGGTGAATGGTTCTATATACTGTTGAAGTTAAGCTATAGTAACCAGTGTGCCTTCTGTTTTCCATTTTATTCCTTGTACTGTTCAAGGGCAATGATATTTCAAAAAGAATGGTGGTACTTCTTTACTTCTCTATTCTGATGATATAAAACTAATTGAAAATCAAAGATTAGCAACCTTTTGAGGGTAGTCTGTCAGAGTATATTTTCGTTTTTCAGCTTTGAGGTTAAATGTGATAGGAGAAACTCAGTGGGAGCTGGAAGATTCCATTCTGGGAAATTGTAATCAGTGATATCTCACATGTATGGATTGTGGGCTTCTGGCTGCTTTGGTCTTTGGAAGGTCCCGTGAGATGTGGTAGCTGTGAGCTCCTAAAGGTTGCTCAGCCTTGTGTGTGCAATTCAAAACAGACTGAACATGGTATAGACTTTTGGCTTCTGTTCTAAACTGATTAAAAAGGTCTTAAGTATCCTTTCCACAAATGAGGTTAGTTCAACTGCTAAATAAAAACACATAGGACTTTGGAGAATAATTTTCTCTGGAAAAAAACATATTCCTAAAGCTGCTTCCCAAAGTGCCTTCCATTAACTTCCCTTTCATGCAACTTTTCTTACCTGTATTCACGTGTAATAGTAACAACATGGGAAATAAAAAGGTATGTTTTCAAATATATAAATGGTTAGATTTTTATCAGGATTTTTCTGCTTGTTTGGAAATTTCTACATTGTTGTTTTTAAAGGGACAGGATTGTAAAGCTTACATTCCAAGTTTGGATTCCTATAAAAACATAGGAAATTACAAAACCTAACATTAGATGTGCTATTTTTTTAAGATGCCTGAAAAAAATTATTTTGTAATGTATTTACATGCTGTCATACAGTACTGTGCACAGAAGCAGAACAGTGTTTTTTCCAACATTAATAAAACTAAGAAATTATGGTGCAAATTAGACTTTAAAATTGAATGCACAGTAATTACATGTACATTTCTCACTAAAGTAACCAAGAACATTGCATATGATATTGTAAATATGGATTACTTGTTTACATGAGATATTTTATTGAGAGACTAAAAGATATTGCCAAATATTTTCTATTTCAGAAGACTCTTCCTTTTGCTTCTATTTCAGAAGATTCCTTCCTCCATTTCTAACTGTTCATAAGAACGTAAAGAATTATTTTATTGTTTTGTTACTCACGGTACTTATTTGTAGATGAAAGCAAATGTTTAATTACAATATCTATTTTCTTTACTCTTTTTTTGTATGTTAATAAAATTAATTTTTCAAGCTTATGATACCACTGAGTATAGATTTATATTATGGTACTAAAATACAACTTTCTAAATTTGGCAAAAGATCAAATCATTCTTATGATTATTTTTTTGAAAACAGGAGGGCAATTGTACAAAGTTCTTTTATTATTTCTTAATTCCAGGTGTTCCTGATGATCTTCCTAATGAAATTTATATATTCTGTAGTGTTAAAAGGATAATGAGTATATAACAGGAAGTGAGGGAATTCACTGAAACAAACTGTATTTCACCTTCTGATCATAATAGAAATTCCCCATAGCACTTGTTAGAGGGAAAAAAAAGTCAAAACTATCCTCAGTAATGAGATTGACATAGGAAATAAGGGAAGACCATAAATTCTGATGTACTGTAAGATCCAAATACCCTCAGATAAATAACAGCCAAACTGAATGCAAAAGTTTTGACCCCATGGAACCTTCTGACGCAGATTTAACTTCGGCCCATCAAGTTACTCATGAACAGGTTATTGATCATAAAATGCTATAAATGGTAAAACTATCTATATTAACATATATGTAACAAGTAAGAATTAAGGTAAGTATTAAGTTCTTAAGCTTAGTAAGATTAATTGGAAACTCTTCTAAACTAATTATTCCTGAATATCATACAGCTGTTGGCTAAAACTTTCCAACATCATCATGATCATGGAAAAGTAAAAAACACTGTTACAATAGTCAGTATAGTGGAAAACTTGCTGTATTCAAACCCGACAATTCTCTGTTGCTGATAACCTCTCTTAACTGTCTCCTGCAGGCTAGAGTTTTTGGGGAAAGCTCTGGTAAAACAGTCCCATATTTTTTCAATATGTTGATTATTACAAAATTCAATAAAATCTCATTTGTATTCACACTTGAAAGAGGGGACTCAAAATTTTGGTGGGGGACACTGTGTTTGTGTGGACGAGTGTTTTTTGTAAGTAGTTGATGGAACTCTTATAACTTATGTACAGATTCTTGCATTGTGTTATGGTATTAGCCACACTTTTGATCTAAGATTAGTGGGCAGTAATGAAGGGTAAATTACTGTATAGGAAGAGACCGAATTCCAGGTCAAAAAAATGGATGACAACCATTCCAAACAATGCAGCTAACAGAAGAGAGGAAGTAAAGTTGAGAAAACCCAGTTACTACTGTACACATATCAGAACTTTTGTTATAACAAAAATGACAAGGCCACAGGTAACACTAATAGAAGAAGTAGAAACAACTGGTATAAATTTCAATGAGCTCATTTATGTTTGCCAAATATGGTCATCATAGACTACCAACC